ATTAAATGTGTTCTTATACATGTTTTTATCCATTGTTAACCCTGACTAAATGTATGAGAGGGCACAGAATTCCCCCCTCTTTTCCTCCATTGTTGCCCATATTTGTTAAAGAAATTATTCCCCTTGACGTTTGTTTAGGCTGCACTTTGATAAAATGCTGTCTATGATCCACTTTCTTAGCTTGGCATTCAGCAGACTACTATAGATTTATTTCTCTTTGCATTTTCTTATCTTCCTTTCTAGCATATTTGGGCTTCCTTTTCATATTTTAAGCTATATTTTCGGGCATAGACAGATCACCTTAGTAATTGTACACTGAAGTACAGCAATGTTCTAAGGATAATTTTTCAAGCCTTCAATATATACTTAGCCTCACTAACTGTCAAAGGATGCATTTACATGTATTTCTCATGTTGTCTAAGAATAAGCAAATAGATAAATTAAGTGTTGAATGTGATTTCAGACTTAGTAGAACTTTTTTCAGCTTGATGGAACAGTAACAATTTTTGAAACAAGGTAAATTTGACCTTGAATCTAAAAGGTAATTTATTAGAGAAAATAATAAGAATTTTTCTTTGTTTTTCCAATTCATATCCAAGTGTCTTGTTACTAGTATAATCTATATACTTCAACCTTTTTAAAAATGGTATATGAACTGCAAATATTTCACTTTTCCCAATTTTAAATGGCTGACCCAAATTCCCCACAATGGAAGAAAAAAAGAGGGATATTTCACCTAAGTTTTCTAATCTATTCTAGCGTTTGTCATTTTCTCAAAAATAGGCCTTTATGTGTTCTTATTAAAGTATATATCACTAGATGCTCTGTGTCAATGTATCAGTAAATTGGCTCATGGGAATTGTCAAAGTGTAGAATCTGATGTATGGTCTATAAAATGGAGTTAATCATTATAAAATTATGTTCAGTATTCCCCACTCTCAAAAAATATTGACCTTTAAATCAGGGATGATAAAAATTTTTCATTTCACAGAATTAGCTCACAGTGATTTAAATTATTAGCTATAGTGCTTCAGCTTTGTAGAGAGTTTTTGACTCATTTTTAAAGGTTTGTTGCATAAAAACAAATCCAATGACTCTGTCAGCCTATGGCTAAGGGCTAACTTAACCTGTTACCCCTGTACAAATAGATGACAGCCAGGTTAACTTAATATAGTCAGCCACCTTTCCGTTTTATCTAAAAGTGTGAGATATTCACTTTTCTCTAGTTCTATCCGTTATCTTCTGCTAATTATTGTTTGTTTCAAATAGACTCAAGTTATTGAATGTTGATCTTAGTCAAGGCCTTATTAAGGGGAAATCATTAGTCATGGCTAAAAGGAAAATGAGGGATTCAAAATACATATGATTCTCTATTACAATAATTTTATTTAGAGTTATATTGTTTTATAATTCCAATATTTATAAAATAGATTTGTTAACTAAAAGTTAAAAAAACAAAAAATGTTGTATAGAAAAAGTTTATAAAAAATAAAATAGATTATTTTATATGAATGTTAATGTTAATAAGAGGCTGTATATGTATTATCATTATTATTATCTTTGGTACTTGAGATTGAACCCAAGGTTGCTTTTCCACTGAGTTACTTCCCAGTCCTTTTTAATTTTTTGAGACAGAGTCTTGCTTGGTTGTCTAGGTTGGCCTTGAACTTGCCATCCTTCTGCCTCTGCCTCCCAAGTCTCTGGGATTATAGGCATATGCCACTATGCCTAGATAAATGTACTCCATAAAAATTATTTAAAGTGTATTTTGAGGTTTAGTAATTAAGAATAATTTGATTCAGAGCTATATTTGCTGATATATTTATAAAGAATTAGAAATTGATTTGTGTTTTTACTAATAATAAAGTGGGAATTAAAAATTAATTTATTAGGACTTTTGATGGTATTTTAAGAGGAAAAATAAGTTTAAAAGCCTAGATTACAGGATCATAGGGAGCAGGTAGTTTGGAATATTCATTCTTTGGGTTTATGATGACATTTAGTAGTTATTAAAGCTGCATAATTTTGACTTAGAAGAGGAAAGTAAGTTAAAGGGGCTAAAAGAAGACATGGAAAACCTAGTTAGGAGATTACTGCAGTTTTCCAATGGAAGTTTATGTACATTATACCAGAAATTGTGTGCTTGTGCATATTAGTGTTTTGGCACCTATTTTAGCTTAACAAATGGGAAGGAGAGACAGAACATAAATAACCTGGCGAAAAAATGAGCAAATTTCACATTTGCTAAGCTTTTAAAGCATGTACCTGCAGTTTATTTGGCAACTGAAAACTTTCACTTCTAATTTTTAAATGTTTACTCTTAGGATATTTTGTGGGAGACAGCAATCATGCAGAAAAGTATAAACAGAAGAGAAGTAAAGATAACTTCATCCATTCTACCTTCCTGAAATGATGACTATTATCTTTTCAGTGTATTTTCTTCCAGTTTTACTTCTCCCTATGAATATAGCTTTATGTTAAAGTGATCTTGCTGAATATGTTCTTGCATGTTAAGAACTGTGAAGGGCCCAAAACCTTCCTATTAGCATCCTAACAGATGAGTCTACCTTCGTTTCACAGATGCCAGCAAATGGCAAGGGACTTCTGGGGCATAGATAGAAGAGTTTATTGTTTATAGCACAAGGAATAGTTTAGCATATTTGTATGGGTTCCTCTTGCTCCAGAGACTCACAGAAGCAAAAGGGATGCCTCAAATGAACATACACACCTAGATGGTTGCACTACAGGAGAGCAACCCTGAGCTTCAGGAATTTGAATACATCATAATTGGCAGTAACTTGCTTGCCCTTTGTTCCAGAAGAAGACACTATTATGCAGGGCAGTAAACATGTCTACTCCTAGATCCAAAGGAAGATATCTCTGCCTTTCAAGGCCTGTCCCTATACAAATATCCTAGGAAGACTGTCAGAAAAGAAGATAATGTCTTTGCTTATAGAATGTGCAGAAATGAAAGATTCATGGATAACAGCTTCTCAGCAAACCTAAATGTTTTCAAATGCCATTAAGATTTTTAAAATCACCACTTAAGATGGCTGTATATAGCTGTAAAGAATCAATCATTGGCATGTGACACAATTTACCACTATTTCCCAATTTTCCTAATATTGGTCTGTTAGGTGGTTTCCATTTAAAAAGCTTCACTTACACATGTCACTGGGGCAAAGGAGGTAAAATATTACAGTTACCTTGTGTGTTGTAGCTAAGTGTGGAGCAGATAGCAAATGGGCTGCCCCTGATTTAAAGTCCGTACAGCCTCTTGAGCTTGGCCTTCTATATAAATATGCACGGCTATGAGCGGAAAGCATGTCTATTGTCTCAAGATGTTATCCAGAAGGAGACAGGCCCTGTAAAGCTGGATATTAATGCTGCTGGTGGTAGTCCAGGCTGCCCTGGTTTTCTTCTGGAAAGTAGAGATATTCCCTGACATGTTCTGCTGCTCACCCATCTGCCTGAGCCTGAGACAGAAGCTCATACTGCCTGGCATTAGTGGGGTCCAGAAAAGTCCATGTAAATCCCTTCAGTGTGAAAGGGAAAAATCTAAGATCCAATTAATGACCATCTTGTCCAAACATCTGGAGGGGGCCTGGTCTGGTGATGGGGATTAAAGAAAGGCAAAACAGGATAATGACCAGGTTTTAGTCCTGAGACTTATATGCATAGGAAGTACCCAATGTGGAGCTTCCCTGGAGCTGTGGGATCCTCTGTAGAATCCAGAATACTTCGTCAGAGACAAGTGGTGAAACCAAAGGAGGACTAAATGAAACACACCCTAGAGAGTCATTTCCTAGTCAAAAATTATCCCTGATGACCCAAGGTTGAAATTTGTGAAAAATTTGAGCACAAAACTTAGGTAACTTTAGACTTCTGAGTAGGCAATGATCACAGATAAAACAGGAGGAAAAGCATTCAAATTTTTTAAAAATAAGAAGGAGGACAGTGATGCGTTAAAAAGTTTTGTGGGGGGAAAGTAAAAACATGAACTTTATTCCTCAAAGCAACATCTTTAAGCACCTACTATATTCTCAGGCATCTTCTAGATGCTGGAAAATTGGTGACACACAAGATAGATGAGGTCCCAATTTCATAGAACAAAAGTCTAGAAAGAAATAAATAACACATATCGAAGATCCTGGGGTCTAGGGTTGTGGCTCAGTGGTAGAGCCCTTGCCTAGCATGCGTGAGGTACTGGGTTCGATCCTCAGCACCACATAAAAATAAAAAAATAAAGACATAAAAATAATAAATGGAGTTATGTGACAAACCCCTAACTTGAACACAAGGTGGAAGTGGGGGAGGCAGTGTTGGGATGAGCAGCCAAAGAGAGATTTTTCTGAGGATATAAATCTGGGCCGAAACCTGGAAGATGAGGAGTTGGGTGACAAAGGAAAAGCCTATGAAATGAGAACAGGGGTACATTCACTAAATGAATTGAAAACCCAAAGGGGACTGGAGTAAATATCTCCATCTACCTTCAAAAGAAACTCTTGCATGAAAAAAAGTAATAGTAATACACAGAGTCTTACATGGCAAATAGATGGATGGATAGATGGATGGAGGTATCTTAGAAATAAATGCTCAGATTGATCCCCTTTTTTATTTCTAATTTGTTTCTGTTCCTATGAAGCCATGGAAAAATGTCTCTATCAAAAGACACAGTGCAGGGGCTGGGGTTGTGGGCTCAGTGGTAGAGTGCTTGCTTTGCGTGTGTAAAGCACTGTGTTGGATTCTCAGCACCGCATATGAATAAATGAATAACATAAAGGTCCATCAGTGTCCATCAGTGCACAGGTCTCAGGGATTCTGACCCAAACTACTTGGTCCATTGTGAACGTTAAAGGCACAGTTTATTTTAAGTAGTATTTGTAATTCCTTCCCATGGAGATCTTAGTTGGTGACTCATTTCAAGTAGAAATGACAATTGTTTAGGGGTTTTTTATCTACTATATAAAAAATGTTCACAATAATCTTTATTTTACCAGACAGGAAGCACTACTTGCAGCAATCAGTGAGAAAGATGCAAATATTGCTTTGCTGGAATTGTCTGCCTCCAAAAAGAAAAAGACGCAAGAGGAAGTCATGGCTCTCAAGAGGGAGAAAGACCGACTAGTGCATCAGTTAAAGCAGCAGGTGGGGCGTCCTGCACCAAAGGTGTGTTTTTCTGGGTTTGGGGCCTTGGGTGCTTCTTCTGGGTTTAGCCACTCTTCATTTCCCATGTCCATCCTGCAGCCTCAAGCAGCTAAAACCAGGTAGGAGCAAAATGGCCCGAACTGTTGCTGGAACATCATTTTATGGCTTTTCTGTTTTATGTGCATGTGGCTGGGCTTGTGTGGTTTGCAACCAGTGCTGTTTTTCTTTCTTTTATATTAGCATCATCTCCCCAGGAATAGCTCTCTGCTCTCTTCCTTCCAGTGGACTTCAACTTCTAGTAAAATTCTAAAAACTCCTAATTAAATTCTGGGTACCTTTTCCCTGGTAGACCTGTTACCTTCTGTCTTGCTCACTTCCTGCTCCTTATAAATAACTCCCCTCATCCAGTTCTTTGGGTTCCTTTCTCTCTATATTTCCAACTTTGGTTCTTCAACTAGTTCCCCAGGACTTTTCAGTCAAGGAATATCTCTCAACCCTTAGTACTGCTAGGCCAGGCTTAGAGACCTCTGAGACATTATTTGGTCTAATTTTTTTTAATCACCTATTTTTTGCCCCATAATCCTGTTTCCTCATCTCTAGACCACTGTACTTGTTTTGAGAGGTGTGGAAGGAGAGGCATAGACCTAATTTGTGCAGAAAGTTCTTTGCTTTTCTGAGGGTTTTTCTGGAATTGACTTAAATGGGAACAGTTATACCTGAAGCATGTTGGAAAATCATCCCTAAAACAATTTACAGATGTTATTCCTCCACCATATAGAACTTGGGAACTTTTGTAAAGCAATACTTAAAGATGTTCACTCAGATTACAACTTCATCATGAAATCCACTCATCTCAATTGTCTGTGGCCTCATATTGTGGCTGCCACATTTTAGCTAGGGCCACATGTGACTCTGGTGCTTTCTCAATGGCAAATGGTTACCATGTAGTATGTCCACATCAATTTCCACCCCTGGGACTGGCTCCCTGCCTGCTAGGGTAATCTTTGCTAATATGCTAAGCATAGTGTGTAGGGTAAGTGGAAAGGAAGCCTGAAGGAATAAGCCCCCTTTCCTTATAACGGGGCAAACCTTTTCCTCCTCAGGAAGGAAAAGGCATCCTTTGGCTCTGAACTAGAGTCCATTTCTCATGGGACTGCCTTGCGAAAAGACAGAGACTGCCGCCATGCCTGAGCACCCTTTCCTTGCAGAGGGAGGGTCTCAGTTGCTGCCAGACATTGGGGTCATTCCACAGAGCGGCATGCCTCGCTATCGCTGGCCCCCGGGGAAGGGGACTGCTTCCATCTGACCTCTTTGTTTGGAGCTGTGCATCTTTTATACTGGATTTTCTACCCACTTGGCCATAGAAAGTCAAGATGAGCCTCCTTCTTTGCTTTCCGTTAAGTCCTTCCCTGTGCACCCTGTGTCCTCCCCTCCTGCACCTAACCATTGTAGCTTTCTCCCACAGGTTTATAGACCTAAGAAACATCCCCTGAGCTCGAATATACCATGCCCTTGTGATGCTGGCTACAGCCCAGATATTACGGCCAAGTACCACGGGTCCAGCTACGATGCATACGTGAGCCAAAGGTCTCAGGTCAGTCAGCTGCTTAGGAGATAATTGCCCCACCATGGGGGTTGGGGTGCATAAAAGCTACACCCTATCTTGACCTTCGCCTCTTCTGATGATTTCTAGTACTTCTTGGCCCTAAAGTCTGAGACCATAGGTGATTGCATCAGATCAGGATTTGCAATGCAGTTATTATTTATTTCATTTTATTTGTACTTACCAAAGGTTCCAAACTTGGTGACCACCCTATAGGGTGAATTCTGAAATAACCTGAGAGTACTACAAAGCCAAAACAGCTAGAGCCATTGCTACCAGTCAAAGTGAATTATTTTTTGCTTTTACCTTTTAGATACTTTTCTCCCCGTATCCCCATCTACTTTTCTCAATAAAGATTTTTTTTTTTTCCTGAAGCTGCTTCTTTTTCTTTCTCAGCATCCTGAAAATTCACTCCTAGATTCCAGTAAGTTTTGAGTGTAGCCCTTCGGTTTGCTCCTGGGAAACTGCACAAAGCCTTCATTCTTTGTGTCAGCCTGGGTTTTGGGTATCAAGGGGCACATTTGGGAAATCCCAGCCATGCAGAGTGAGGCTCCTGCCTGGTCAGAGGCAGGGTCTGAAAAGTTGTTGTGGAGAAAGGGCAGCAGAGGAGGAGGGTGGGCCCCTTGGTGTTGTGGTTTAGGTTTGAAATCCCTCCTGATGTCCTGTCCAGGACAAGATAAATCCCATGAATTTAAGTATCTTTGTTACAAATGATAATGATTCTAAGAATAACAGCTGATTTTCTTATAAAAGCACCTCCCTTTGAGCGTTTTTACTGTGTGCTTGCCCTGGGCCCAGGGCCCCTTATGATGTTGTCCCCTAGCCATCACTGCAGCCTCTTCTGAGGGGAGCATCCATGAGGCTCAGAGTGTGGAATTTACCAGCCCAAAGACACAGTTTGTGATAGGGCTCCAGCTTCCCATAGTCTGACTCCACACACACCCAGCAGGCTTAGGAAGGAATTCAGAGCGACAGGCCCAAAGATATTCCCCAAAATTATGAGGTTCTTTTATCCCCTTAAGTTTGACATAGATGCCCCAAATCCTAGTTAAGGTGCCAAAGCCTCCAAACATTCACGAGTGGATTCTACCTGGAGCGCTTAAGCTCAGGTTATTTGACCACATCAAGAGTAATTCCTCCTATCTGTCAGCTCTCACCATACACCAGCCATAGGTCTAAGGGCTTTGAATATATCAACTCATCAGCTGCCAAAAGAACTGAGGGATTGGTGCTGTCATAGAGAAGGAGCCAGAGATCAAAGAGGTTGAGCTCCCTGTTTAGGCCTCATAGTTGGACATACCATGATGCTTAAGGGAACCCTTTGCCAAACAATCTTAAATGAGTTTCACAAATGCCATCTAAAATCAAACTGCTTGGGTGAAATTTTGTTTCTAACACTTATTAGCTGGGTAATCTTGGGGACCTCCTCGAACCTCAATTTCTTCATCTATACATGGGCTAATAACCTGATTTAAAGCATTGTTTTGAAGTGCAGTGCTGACAAGAGTACTTTGCACATTAATGGGCACATAGTAGTAGGTGCTTTGTATGTGTGAAATGCTATTTCTTTTTTTTTTTTACAAAATATTTTTTTAGCTGTCAATGGACCTTTATTTTATTTATTTATATGTGGTACTGAGAATCTAACCCAGGGCCTCACACGTGCTAGGCAAGTGGTCTACCACCAAGCCACAACCTCAGCCTGTGAACTACTATTTCTATTTCTATTAATTACTATTAATAAATATCACACCAGTCTTTGGAGGTAGTTTAATTTTTATTTCATTATACACAGCTGGGAGTTACAACTCATTGAAAACATACTATGGACTATGACAGAGCAGACAGATGTCAGCACCTAAGCCTTCCTAGTCCTCCTCCCCTAAAGCTAAAGTAGTTGGGAAATGGTGAGCAGATACATCAGGAATCCTAGATCCCAGCTCCCAGCTTGCACTGAAGAGGTGCATAGGGCTTAAACCTGCTTGGTTTGCATATGTAGCCCCATGGTGAGACATCAGTCATCTTCACCTGCATGGCCAACTTGGACTAGCAGAACCCTGTTGGGGGCCAGATCAATGGAAAAGGCAGACAATGGATCTACCCTGCCTCATTTTGCACAAATGGTGAGGTTGACTGGTTCCTGAGGGATGTCCACATTTGTTAGGCTGCCTTTTTTTTTTCTGAGTGTACATGTTTGCAGAATCATATTGGTCATACAGTCACATATATACATTTTGAGCTCGGCTTATCTTATGTAGAAAGTCTCATCACTGCCCATACCATCCCTGATGACTGAACACAAGTAGTTCATTTAACAACCACCAGTTGTTGCACTTTTATAGGCACATAGTGGGCACTCAAAAAACATTCATTATGTGAATATACGATTACAACATGACAGGCACTATGCCAAATACTTTATGTATATGTAAGTTTTTGCTGATAATCCACCAACCTTCCATGTGCCAGGCTGTCTGCCAGCTGCTAGGGATTCATCTTTGACAGTTTTATTTGCCACAATGAGAAAAAAAATCATCCTCATTTTTTAATTAATCAAACCAAGGCTCTAAGAGACCATATGATTAACCACCATCATCTCACTCATTCCTGCAGTATAGAATTGGGTCCCAGGGATGTGGGAATACTAAGGTCTTGCCCTTGACTGAACTGAAGACTGCATCCCTAATGCAGTCTGTGAGTCATGTATTCGTTCCTATACTTCACAAATGTCATCAGAAAAGCTTAGTTCTGATGCTGCAGCTCATGACTGCCAGCCTGCCCAGGGGTGTGGAGAGAGAGGGATTGGTAGCTTGGTAAGACCAAATGCCGCATTTGAATTCAACTCTACAATTATTTATGGAGTGACTACTCTGTGTTATAGTGCCAGGCATTTTTGGAATACATCAGTGACCAAAAGTAGGAAAAACCCTTTCCATGAGCTTGCTTTTTAGTGGGTGAAGAAAGACAATGAACAATGAATGTGATAAATAACTAAATTATGGGATAGGGAAAAAGAAAAATGTAGATCAATATAAGAGAGAACAGGAATAATGATATGATTGAGGGTCTGCTGATCATTTAAAATATGGTGGACAGGAAGATCTTCATGTGGAAGGAATCATTGGGGAAAAGCCTTGAAGGAGGTGAGGGAATGAGTCATGTAGACATCTGGGGGAAGGATGTTCTAACAAAGAGAACAGGCTTTGTAAAGGTTCTAAGGCAGCAGCATCTTAGTGTATTTGTGGAACGGCGCAGAGGTCAATATAGCTGAGTGGCTGACAAGAGGATGAGTTGTCAGAGCAGTACTAGGTGGACTGGGCTGTGTAGGCCTCTCTCATATTGGATCTGTCAAGAGTGGTATGTTCTGAGGCACAAATTTTCTGCAGTTAGAAAGCATAATACATGAGCCTCACAGCCTCAGTGCAGAGAGGACTCCCTCTGGGCAGTTCTGGACTGCCTGCTTAAGGCCACCCTGCTCAGCCCACTCCCTGTATCCCCAAGCTTGATACTTGATTTGCAGTTTGAAGAAGCATTGCCACTTCTTTGGTGCCACAGACCACTTCTGCCAGAATCTGCTGTCATACCTAATGAGATTTTCAGTCAGTGTAAAAGCAAAGCTCTTTGATAAGACATTCTCCCTAACTTCCTGACAGTCTCAGCCACATGCCACAGGAATCTTCATGTGCACCCTCCTTGGTGTAAGGCGGTATGGAGGCTGATGGCTGTGGCTATCTCATCCCATTGGCCCATGTACCCTGCTGGCTCTGCCTAGGCAAAGCATAACTGTCCTTCAGGCCAGGCCCATCTTCCAGACTTCAGTGAACAGAAACATGATCGTCTCCAAAGAGGAGTCTCAGGTTACACTCATCCCTCTCCAGCTCTCTCTGTTAAAAAGACTTCCTTGGCTCTGCTGGGTGATAGGAGAAGGAAACTCAAGCCAGTGCACTCTCCACCTTACCCATACTATTCCTTCTGCCTGGAACACTTTTCCCTCTTTTCTTCACCTAGTTAATGCCTACTCTTCAATTCAACTTTGTTCCAACATCACTTCTTCAAGGAGGATTTCTGGGACTAGAAAAAGACCCAGAAAAATTGGATCAAATCCTCCAACCTGGCCCTTCATAGCATATGTATATCTATTTTATAGCACTTATAATCAATGAAATGCTTTTGTTTTTGTTTTTGGTTTTTTCAATGATTTGAATAATAACTATCGGCCATGCTTGTATATTAACTGCATGAGAACTGAGAACATGGCTTCTTTTTGTTCACCTAATTTCCAGGCCTAGCACTTAGCAAATATTAGTTGAATATATAAATGAGAGGGAATCATCAGGGCATCTTTGTAAGAGATAGCAGTTCAATCATGACCTTGTTCCCTTTAAGACAAGACTTAGCCTCATAATTCTCACCCCGATATTCTAGGCACCCACTCCAATCCATAGGAGCTGATAGAAGAGTGAAGTCTGTTTGCCAGTTAATGACCCTACACTGACACCCTGCCCTCTCTCTCTCATCACATTGGAGGTCACTTGACTCCGGTATTTTCTCAGTTTGGACTTGTTAAGATGGTAGCTAACTTGAACCTTTTCTCTAAATCTTTTTATCTTATTCTACTTCAAATACTCTCCAATTTCTTGGATTCTTCTTGAATAAAATGTCACTCAATTCTCAGGAATGGCAGAGAATTCTCATTATGAAGGGAACCCCTCCAGTCCATCCCTGGAAACTTCTGAGCATCTCATAAATCAGTTTGCCTGGAAATACCTTAACTCCTGTTAAACATCTGTTGAGGAAGCCAGAGGTGATATGATATGAGTTCAGAAATTCCAACTATGCCTAATGATGCAAGAATCTTTGTGACGCTTTTCGCGTGTTGACATTTGGGTGCTTTCTAGGCTGAGCATGGTATAAAGGTAAAGGAGTAAAACAGTTTAACCTTCTTGTTTCACTGAGAGATAAAAGATTGAACATAGTTTGGTATAGTAGGC